CCCGGTTCGCTGCCCGACCTCTTCGGCGAACAACATGCCGCCGATATCGCCAAGTCCATGGTCCAGACCACCAATGCTGCCGATATCATCCCGAAGCTCCAGGCCGCCTTGCAGACGCAGCATATAAACAATGTCGATATCGACCTTGTCTTGCCCCCAGGCGCCATCGATCCCGCGCAGCCCGACGATTTGGAGGATGTGCCCGAAGATGAGGACGATATTCTGGATCCTACTGTGCGGCAATATGGCATGTACACCCCATTGGTCAGGCTGTTTGGGGAGTCCATCTTCCTACCGACTTCTAGGCTCAAGCGGGCGCCGTCCAAGCCAACCGCGAGAAATAGAGCCAAGTCATTTTGCAAGGACCAGAAGATCGAGCTGCGGCGGAAGATGGCAGAGTTGGTTGATACGGAGGAACGCTATGTCTTGAAGCTCAACGAGTTGGTGAAAAACCTTGCCGAGGAGTACAGGAAAAAGGCGAAGGAGCGCCAACCTGACAGTCTCAGCCCTTCAGAGGAAGATGTCGAAAAGCTGTTTCCCAGGTGCTCCGAACGGATTCTGGAGCTGAACTCGGGGTTCATGGATGAGTTGCGCAAGGTGATGGACGATACCGAGGACGACGCGTTGAAGGACGTGGAATCAGGTGCATTATCCTCCAGGGTCGGGGTTGCTGGAAGCGTTATAGGGAAGTCCAAAGACGCGAGCGGGGCTCTAGCCATGGCCAAGATCATGTTGGAATGGTTTCCAAAATTCACCGACTGCTACCAGGAGTATATCCGAGCGAGCCAGGAATTCCCCCAGCTCATCACCACATTCCTGGGCCAGCAATCTAGCTTTTCGCAACGGGTCGCAGTCACGGGAGAGCAGCACTTGCGCTCTACCGTCATCGAGCCCGTACAGCGGCTGCCACGTTATAGCTTGGTCATTGACCAGATTGTCAGTTGCTTGCCCATCACCCATCCTGCTCTCCAGCCTATGCTGAAAGCCAGGGATATCATCGCCAATATCTGCTCCATGGATGATCCCATGGCCGACAAGCCTCACGTCAGCACGCGACTGCGAAACATGATCGAGAGCTGGCCAGGCGATCTCGAACCACAGGGCCGCTTGATTCTCGCTGTTGACTTTTCCGAGGTACCTGCGCCGTATCAGACGGCGAGCATCTTGGACACGCTATCTAGCGAACGAGCTGGCATGTTTCTGTTGTTCTCGGATTGTATAATCATTGTGAAGAAGCTCGACAGTGGAAATATGACGGCGCGGGATCTACTACGCGAGATTGACAAGCCGTCGCCCGCTGGACTGTTGGCCTCCATGACGAATGCTGCTGGTGGGCCGGGATCCTACGATCTTGCCTTCGCCGGCTGGCACGAGCTTGCCGACGTCCGCTTCACCGAGTCCTCCGATGGGCGCATCGTATGGATGACCTCCACCAAGGAGATGAAGGGAGCGCATGCGGGAGAGTACGTGACGAACACTGCAACTACTGCCCGGTGCTTCATGCTTCAAGAGACGTACGAGGGAAGGGCTGCGAAGTGGAGCGAAGAAATCGTCAAGGCTAGGGTGGAGGGCCGATTCGCCGAGCAGGAGCGTGAGGATCCCTGCTGGTCACTGCGGTCGGTGAGGATGCCCGACACCGGACTTGGTCTATTTGCTGCGGTGTTTCAAGAGGGCGTCGATCAGCTTATAGAAGGGCGAAAAGAGCCGGCTCCTATCCGCATCGTTGTCGACCACGAGAAAGGCACCAAGGGATCCCCGGTCGGCCACTATGGCGTAGAGATATGCTCTGATATTAAGGCGGGGGACTTGAAAAAGGTGGTGGTTATCACGGTAGGACTTAATGGGAAAAGGGCGACCGACGAGGTTGCTCTGGAAGATTTCCTACCTACCTTGGCCAGGAGAAGTAAGCATATCATGATACTCACCTATCAGGTGGGCAAGCTGTGCTAACCAGTGTTTACAGTCATCCAATTCCTCAGTACTCAGTTCAATGTGGCGAACCCGAGCTTGACGCCTGCGATTGTCTCGTTCCACACAAAGGTCCTCCGGGGTGTAACCGCAACTAATAGAGCAGAGAAATCGAGGTCCTTCCTGGCTACGTCTCCTGTCAAGTATCTCTCGAACTTTCTCAGTGGAAGTTCTTCAGATCTCGGTAGCCCCAAGCGTCAGCGTACACCGACCGGGGAGAATCCGACGACGATTCAGTATCCCACACAGGTCAGCCGTACGAACAGTTCTAGGGATGCAATCTCTTTATATGGTTCAGCAAAGAGCAGAGAAGGCATTCGAATGGGTGCCGACGATGACATACCAGAGAATCCGTTGGTGCGACTTGAACAAACCTTTACGGGCTACATGGCTAGTCTCCAGGCTCGTAAAGGAAACTTTGTGGCCCGAACACTGCTCCATAGGTCTTCTGTAGACGAACTCTCGGTGAACGACCTCTACAATAGGCTCATCGAAAGCCCCTTCGATATCGAGAGCTCGTCCGACCTGCCGGCTGATGTCGTGTTTACGGCCTTCGAGAAATTTGTCCGTATCGCCTGGACGGAACAGATGGGTCCAATCATGACACAAAAGGCGCTTGACGCACTGCAACAGCGAGCAGCTAAGAGGTTACCTGGCGACTTCGCGGACTTCGTTCACTTTCTCTTCCAGGATATGGCCCCTCAAAACCGTAGAGCATTCACTGCGCTCATCAAGCTCTTGGCCGATCTGCTTGACGGTTGTGGGAATGATGGCGATAGGGGGGCCCTCACGCTTGCATTTGCCGAGCTTTTGGTCGACGATGGGACTGCTCATAACTATATCAATTTGCTAGATAGGCTTGTGGAAGACTGCGATCGGATATTCGACGATGGATCAGGTGGGTTCTCTGGATTCGGCGCGAGTTTAACCGTCAGCAACGGAACCCCGGTTTATGAGTCCATCAATTCGACTACTCGTAGTGTGAAGTCGCATACGGGGTCATTAGCATCGAATACCTCCTCTATAAGGCGAAAATTCGGCCTCGAAAATTTCCTGACGCGTCAGAACAGTAGCAAGAACGATCCGGACTCTCGGCCTTCAATGTGGCGCACCCTGAGCAAGCATAGTAGACACCCGATGAATGTAGATATTTCTACCTTGTCGAGAGGTTCCATCAACAGGGCGAAGTCCATAGACATGGGCATCCAACCGGGAACCGGTAAACCGAGAAGACCTGCCTCGCGAGAGAGACCTCCTATCGCCGGCGCTTTCGACGACACCTGCTCTCGGCCTAACAGCTCGAACAAGCTCGAGACAATCGGAGAGCCTGACACCGAGGATGGGTCGAAGAGGAAACGCCGAAGCTCGCTGTCTGATCTCAAGAATCTAATGGAGGCGGCTAGCCTACAAGACGGGGAAGAGAGAGCCGGGGAAGCGGAAGCGGATGTAGTCCAAGATATAGACGAACCGTTACAGCCACTATCTCATATGAAGGAAACTTCGGAGAAATTCAACTCAGGACCACGCGGTCCGTCGCCACCCAAGATCACTACAAGCCTCGACTCGCAAAATTACACGACCCATCCCCCCGTTCACTCGACTCGGCAGAAAGAAAACATTGAAGACCCCTTCGGAGTTGCGTCGCCACCAGTTACATCGCCGAGAAAAGGACACGCCAAGATGATGTCAACCTCTAATATTCCGACGCTGAAGGCTACGCGCGATAATGGAGCGGACTCGGGCGATCGTCCGTCTACTAGCCCGACCAAGGGCCCCGGGAAACTAAGGCTACAGTCCCCGCAGAAGCTTCGGGAGCGGCTTCAGGTGGAAAAGAACGCCGTCGAGGAGGTCGATGCCAACCTGCAAACGGAACTTTCAAAGATAGCAGCAGACATGGCCAAAGTTAACTCGACTCTACCCCGCTCTTCTACGGTGGACATGAGAAAATTAGCTTCGAGCGTAACCACGCTAGAGGAGCGCTTCCCGTTGCTCATGATGCAGCTTACGGACCGACAGCACCAACTACAGCGAGATATGGAAGATACGCTCAAGGCAACAGAAGGCAAGGTCAGAGCCATCGATCAGTTATACAAGGAGAGCACGGCAGAGAACGAGCTGTTGTATGAGAGATTCAATAGCGAGCTGGGCAAGATCGTCAAGGCCCTCAAGGGCAAGGGACGCGACGACAAGGAAGAGCTCATGGTCCGGATGAAGGATTACAGCGAGGAGACAGCACGCGTCAAGAAGGAGAACGCGCGCCTCCGCCGGGAGATGGCCAGTCTCCGAGCGATGATTAAGGGGAGCAACAACGACGCCTAGAGGGTCGTCGGTATCATAGTAATGGCGTTGGTCCGGCTGGCGTTTTGGTTGATTTGGAACCTCTTGACGACAATCAACGGAGTTACGAGAAAAAGGCGTCGTCGTTATTATATACTGCCCTGACGCCACGAATCGGCTGTTTTTTTTTTTTTTTTTTTTTTTTTGGTGGAGAGGGGGCGGTTTATACGAGTTTTTGTTCATCGTTGATAGAAGAGTAGTATCGCATAGTATTATTGTTGTTGTACTTGTAGTAATGATGATGGATGCCTAGGGTGTCTTGTTGGTTGAAAAAAAGGGCAAGAGAAAAGTCTGCCTACCTCCCGGCTCGGTTAAGAGTGATTGATGAATGGTCGCCGGTTTGGTTTCTTACTAGGGCTTTTCACGGGGCAGGGCAGGGCAGGGCAGGACTGGACAAGACCGGATAGGATAGGTTGTGCATTAGCTATTATGTGGATAGATGAGCTAATGTTGATTGAAATGTCTATCTAACGACATCATGGGTTTCTCTGTATGTGATATGCTCGCTTTGTATATACACACGCCTACGAGGGATATATCAATGGCCTAGTGAACTCGCTCGCTCGTCACCGACCCAAGTAAAACGGTCAAGGCCCGGCAGGACCCACCGTCTTGTCTCCTCACATAATTAACATAAAAAAAAATTAAGCTTCCTCATTGACCAATCGCAATTGCACCTGGTCTAGGTCATACCGGGTGATATCGTCTAGTGGTTAGGACAACACGTTGTGGTTGCCATCTTGGCTCCATCGATCCCGTGTAAACGCCGGTTCGATTCCGGCTATTGCCATTACGCCCCTTGATTTTTTTTGAGGGGGGGTTTTCTTGCTTTTCTTCCCCTTGATTATAGCGTATAAGTAGATAGATAGATAGATAGATAGATAGGTAGTGAGTGGTAAGTAGGTCTTGGCAAGTGAATGAACGAACTATTTTTCGGTAAAGTAAGAAATAGTAATTAATTAGTGGAAGCTTCGTTTTTTTCTTAACGTTTGTGCTAGCTAGGTGCAGTAACTAACCAACTATACGTCGATGGAATGAATGATAAGTGCTTCTTCTCTATGTACTTCCTCCCCCCACCGCCTAAGTCAGAGAGAGAGGTATTCACGGGGCGGGTTGGGGTTTTCCCCCGTGGGGACGTGAATACAATTCGGTACTTGTCTGTCTATCTTGTGGTTCGAGGTAGGCGTTAAGAAGGAAGTATCGGGGCGGGTGCTCTGAGAGTTTGCGACCGGAGCCGTCGAAAGAGGAGGAGGGAAGGGAAAGGAAAGGAAGGGAGGTTGTGCTACTTTGTGTAGAACGTGCGTACGACGTGTGACTGACTATTTGTACTATGCCGAAGGTGAGAAAATCGTTTCTCGCCAGCATAGAGATGTGGCTGTTGTCCCTAGAGCCCGGAGAGTTGGTCTGTCAAGCCGCTAAAGGGGAGACGGGGGTGTTAGGAATCATATAGTATGGGATAGACGACGTGCTGGTTTGGTTGCTCTTCGAGGTCACAAGTACTACTCATTTCGCTATAGCGTACCAGCGGTTCCAAGATGCATTTTCACTGTGTATGCAACCCCGTGGCTGCGTGTGGTGAAGAGTCGTTCATTAGTGAGTGTGCCGTCAAACCTTCCACGAATCTAGACAAGCAGAACGGGAAAAACATAGTGTTTGATAGTAGAGGTTCGGGCCATGGAAATGTATAAGACGATGAGGAACTGAGCACAAGGTTTTGAAAGGAATGTGGCAGGGATATTCACGGGGGGTTATTATTCCATTCCCATCAGGTCAGAGCTTGACTAGACTAGTCTTTCGAGGATGAAGGATTTAGAGTATTTCGTATCTATTGGGGTGCAGTTACCCATTCCAATATATATTGATCGAAAATGGTAGCATCTTCTATAATGTCATCAACTATAGGGGCTTCGGCAACTTTGATCACCTAATGGAGTTCTCTACGAACTTCAAGTCTCCTAGGATTCTGGGTCTGAACTAGCGATCTAACGAAGTCTCGTCTATGAGACTAATTTCTGTAGCTGGTAGGATGGCTATCAGATACGGTAATCAACATTTGAACCCTCAAGGACCGGTAATACTTAGTAGGGGACGTGCATTGATGGCGTACTTCTGTCCGACGGCTGTGGCTTGCAAACGTTGGTATCACCTTTGCAAATACTTATTTGTTGGCTCGAGAGCCTGATACATTCGTTGAATTTCTTGCGACGGTAGGCTAATCATTGTTCCCAATAAGCATTAAAGGAGGGAGCCTGGTAGGTGTATCCCGGAAATATTCAAACTAGCAGAGAAGGCCTCTCTAGGCCTGCAACATCTAAAAGGATACTTGGTAGATAGAATACACTCAAACGGAAGTAAATACTACCCTACTGATTGCATTTTCACCTAAGTGAGAAAGCAATGGTTGTCTACTTAAAAATCGGGAGTATAATAACTACCTCTGAGCTGGCAGGAACCGGGAGCCCCGCCCGGCGCCGATGTTTTTACCCTTTTGGGGGGGTTCAACACCGAGGGTGGGTCTCGGCTCGGTGCTGACCTGCAGCTATATCGGGACCCCTTATTGATCGGTGTCTGTCGACATTGCGGTTGCTAACGTCGGTCTAGAGACAACCTAGGGTACTCAATATCGATGCAAAGGAGGTGTAGACTCATTTTGTAGGATATCATTGCAATTAGAGTCTAGTTTCTAAATTCTATCATTGGTACTTGCCAAATATTCAGGTGCCATTCGCACGCTCGCGAATATGAATGAATGACCGTACTATTCGTCCTTGTTACAGAATATCCTAAGTAGCGTGAAGATGCAAGGTATATAATATAATATTCACAAGCTGGTTCATCCCATGAATAAAATCATCTCTCTCCTTTCCTCGTAAGCAGGATAACATATAAAGAATACACACATCTAGGTATTTTAATTCTTCCACACTCCCTCGATTGCTTCAATCCTTACTCATACCTGCACAAGACAACTTGGTGCGGCAGGTTCGCCAAGTTTTTTCAACCCACACAACCTGCCACTTCTGAGAATCGGCCGGGATGGGTGAGTATCAACCATATAATTTCCAGTTATACCGAGCTGACTACCTCCTTTCGGCCTAGCTCAAGCACTTCACATTATTCATCAAGATGGTTGGGGGAAAGTTTACAGCAAATCTTAACGAGGTCGTTGAAAAGCTTTCTGGTTTCCTCAAGGCCTTCCCCCGGATGTTGATCAAACCTGATACACGAAATGAAGGGAAGGATCTGTACGAGTTATACAGCTACTTCCCCGCGGCTTTCATCTCCAAAATCGAGGATCATAAGGACGTCAAAGGCCACCAAGGCAGCCAATACTCTCACAAGACCATATATATCGTTGTCCATGATCAGATGGAAGACTCTCGCCGAGTCAGCGACGAACGCACTATTGCCCTGGATACTGATATCGTTGGTGTTTATTCCAGCAAGTACGCAGCCAACACCCGAGTCCTTAGTTTTACCGAAGCCAAGATCAAGCAGGAGGATTACCTGGACGAAATTGAGTCTCTTGAGAAATTCTCGCGCCTCTGGTGGCGGGTCAATGAGGATGGTCTTGCACGAGTCAGCTTTCGATCGAATCTGGACCAAGACCACGACGTATACGCCCACGCCAGTAAGTATTTGCCATCAAGCCATCTTCGCTATATAATTTCTCTTGCGAGATAGATGCCAGGGAGCATATGAAATAAGGTGTAAATGAGCTTACCCCCTCACCCACCTAAGGTGGGTGGGAAGCTCTCTACATATGGGCGCTGGCCACCCCTGTTGGGGTGAGGGTGGTCACGTGATCTCCCCTTTGGGGAGATCCGCTATCTACAACTGTGAATACCCTCATCCGCGACAATTTTGCTTATGGGTTTGAAATACCGACTCCTATTATTCCCTATCTCATCTTCGAACTCAATTCTCTCAAGATAACTGCTGACTGGTATTTCCACAGTGGAAGTCGATACCTCCGGTTTAGCTGGAGAGGCAGATGTCGCCTTCCCTGCTCGTCGATGGTGGAACTACGTCTAGGTCTTGCCCCTTCTCTATGGTATTTTATGGGTTAAAAGGGCAATTTATCAACGAGCGCATGGGATGGCTGAGAGGACACAACAGGAATGTGCTTGCGGATGGAGGCTTGACTTTTCTGCAGTTTTATCGTTACTTTACATCTAGACTGTGACAAGGGCTGTTGCACTTGTCACGATAGTTCAATTTCAACTAATAATTCTCTATGGTCTCAAGGGACTCAAGAGTCTAAGTTCTATCATGAGATCCTCTAGGAATTGTCTGCCTGTTTATACACAATCTGCTGCCTGGGGCATCTCTCATCCTATGCACGTTGTTCTTCCGAGCGTTCCCAACTTGATGAATTCTCTGCAATCGACAAAGATTGCACCTCTCAACTGCCTATGTGTGAGTGATAGCTCATTGTGACCTGTTACATAGTATTCCTTCTCTTCACCTACATATAGAATACTAGTTTGCTTCATACAAGGAGGATGGACCCTTCGAGGCTTCAGTTCCGTCAGTTCTCTCTTGATAACTCATTTACACTGTCTGTGGTACCATTGAATCCGATATCATTATCTATCTCCAATAGCAATCTGGCTTATGATCAAATGGTCTTGGCAGCGCCTACAGGTGTCCATCCGTGTGACATAGACTGCTTCTGCGCCGCTCTTGCGTAAGGGTTAGAGACGTATCTAAGAGCACACAGTAGCTATCTAACTTAATATGCAATCAGGTTTTCACCACCACTGTGGATTCATTATGAGGTTCTCCTGAAGCTGTTATAATCATGTGTATACTGTCCATTAGCAAGATTCTTATCAGAGGAGCCTGCAAAAGTATGGTTTTCCTACGATGTAATAGATGGTAGTACGAAAAAGCAACAACGCAAACGAAAGATAATATTTACGGAGGAGAAAGCCGCTTAACAGGTATTTATTGTATACTAGAGCTATAACCTTGAAAGCCGTCATTTCAATAACGGAGACGGTACGCCAAGGCAGTTAACTACCTACACCGTGCAGGGGTATTAATTGTTAAATTCCATACAAATATTCTCACACCATCCGTCGACACTATCCTAATGTTTAATTCGCATATATTAGTAACCCCTAGACCATGGAGTGAGTATATCAAGATCTATAAATAACTAGAAGCAGTTCTTGTAGAAATGAACCGAGAAACCACTTGTGAAATACAAGCTAGTGGTGTAACTATGGGGAGATTATGGCGAGAAGTTACTTGAACTCTTGTCAAAATATAACAATTGATTCCATGGGATATTGTTGACCTACTCCTATTTACAGTTAGACCCAGAGTAATAAAATCTATGTATTTCGAGCGAACGGATATGTCGACTCATAACTTAATAAATCCACAACATTGCCAGGCGATGCTGAAAAGACACACTTCATCTGTCTATCCAGAGTCACCACTTTCCCATTTGAATAAACAGTCATGCAAATATAAAAACTTCAAGTATGTTTTCCGTAACCCACTGCCCTTAAATCTGCATATAACAAACCATCACGCTGACACCGTTCAAGCTAGCACTCTCTAAACAGCAATGCTAAATCTTGGAGCGGGCAAGAGGGACGGATCCGAGGCACCCTGGCCCGATCAACTCGTCAAGCGCATCAAGGTAGAACCGGGAGAAGAGAAGCAAGATCATGTCGAAGAGAAACCGGAGACTGGTTCCGATGAGTCAAAGGATGCCACCGCCCTCCGAGAACTCGAAACGAAATTCCCTCCGAGCATGATCAGAGAGCTCAAAGC